AGCTGCTGCAGTGACAGCAGTGGCAAGAGCGCAGCGCGATGCTGCGCTGCGCTGCCGCAGCGATACGAACTTACTCAAGTGGCCCTGCAATGAGAGCAGCTCGCCGGATTTGCTGCCTCTGTTCATTCTCCTCTGCTGCTCCTTCTGCTCGTGCTGCTGATGTTGTTGCTGCTGGCCAAACAACCAACGGGCCTGCTTGCTGCGCCTCTGCAAAGCAGGAAAATAGGGCTGCTGCGTCTTCACCGCACAGCAGCGCAGCGGGCAGCAAATGCGGCAGCCTCAGCAGCAAGGGTCTTTGATCTACTGCTGCTGCTGCTGTTGCTGGCGCGTTCGGTTTGCTGCTGTGGGAGGGCAGGAGCTGCAGGAGCTGCAGCAGCTGGTGGAACCTCTCCTCTGCCTCCTTATAATCTCTGTAGTAAAGAGCAACGGCAGCTAGCGCCAGCAGAGCCCCCGTGTCCTTAGGGTTTGCTGCTGCTGCTGCTCGCAGCAGCAGCAGTGAATCAGCAAGGGTCTGCTCGGAAAGAGCAACGCGCTGCAGCGCAGCAGCAAGGCTGTCCTGCTGCTTTTGCTGCTGGTGCTGGTTTTGAGTCGCTGTCCGCTGCAGGGCGGTTGATAAGCTGAAAAAGGCAGCAGCCGAGATCGCCATATCCCGCACACCATACTTGTCGCTGTGTTGCTGCTGTTGCTGCTGTTGCTGCTGCTGCTGCTGCAGCGCTGCTGCAGCAAGAGCAGGTGCAGCCTGGGCGCTGTTCGCTCTGAGAAGACAAACGGTAGATAGTAACAGCAACAGCAGCAGCAGCGGCAATATACTCGCTTTCTCCAAGCCCTAAGCGGCAAGTCCTAGACCCTGAACCCTGTCTCATAGAAAAGAAACAGCAGCAACAGGAGGCGTAGCTCCCGCGCTTTAGGGTTTACAGATTCGTTGGCAGGAATTAGAGCGTAGGGCTTAGGGTTTACTTACCCTAAGATAAGCTGAAGGTCATCAGATGCTCCCCCGCGACTTCCGGAGGGTTCCACCTGCAGCACCCTGCTGCTGTTGCCGCTGTTGCTGCTGCTGCGGCCAAACTCGCCACCAAGTTCTGCCAGGATTGCCTGCTTTTGCTTCTCCAAGAGAAGCAACTGCTCCTCCTCTTCAACTAGCTGCTGCAGTTGTTGCTGCTGCAGTGCAGAGAGACCCTCCCTCATCTTCTGCAGCAAATGCCTCTGTGCATTGAAGGAGCGGGTAGCAGCAGCAGCAGCAGCAGTCGCAGCAGCAGCTGCTGTTGCTTCTGCTGCTGCTGGAGCGCTCAAAGAACAGGCAGCAGGCACCTGCTGCAGCTGAAGCTGTCTCTGGGCATCAGGGATGGCTGTTTCATTTGCTGCCGCGGTTGGTGCTGCTCTTGCTGCTGCTGCTGCAGCTGATGCTGCAGAGTCGCCAGTAGCAGTGTGGCAGCCTATTGCCTTCTCGAACTGCAGCAGCAGCTGCTGCTCCTCTGCTGCTGAGAATGATGCTGCTGCTGCTTCTTCGCACAGGTGGGACAACAACGAGATAGGTTCGCTAGCACGCTGCTCTTGCTGCTGCTTATAGTTACAATGCTGCTGCTGCTGCTGCTGCTGCTGCTGCTGCAGGGTGTCACTTCTTTGGGCAGCCGCAAAGGTCTGCTGCTTCTGGACGTCGCAAGCGCCCGGCTTTCGCTGCATTTGCTCGGCCGGAGCAGCAGCAGCAGCAGCAGCAGCTGCTGCTGCTGCTGCCAGCTGCTGCAGCCCCACCTCTGGGGTAGCAGCAGCAGTGCGGCAGTCTCCATCAGCAGCACCAGAAAAAAGAGAGACTGGGGTGTTGTCTCTGCTGCTGTAAGGAGACACCAGACCTATAGAAGGGCCCAAGCTTGGCCGCGGGGAGCTGCTTGCTGCTGATGCAGCAGCAGCAGCAGCAGCAGCAGAAGCTGCTGTTACTTCTGCCTCATCCTCTGCTGTTCTTGAAACTCCTTCGATCCACGCTATCGGCGTAGCTACCGGTGCCTCATTCGCTGACTCTGCTGCTGCTGCAGCTGCTGTTGCTGCTGTGTCTACTTGCTCCACAGTTGAGCTATTTACCTCAGCTTTCTCCTGCTGTTGCTGCTGCTGCTGCTGCCGTCGCTTCTGCTGTTGCTCCTCTTGCTGCTGCTGCTCCTCCTGCTGCTGCAGCTCCTGCGTGGGTGCTTCGCCGCATGGGGGACTCTGTTCGCTGTACGAGACAGTTGCCGCATCAGCTCCTTTCTGTTCCCGCTGCTGCGGCTGCTGGCAATGTAAGCCTTCTGCTGCTTCTGCTGCTGCTGCGCACACACTTTCGTCTGCCCCTTCGTATCTTTTCACCTGCGCCTGCACGTGATGCTGCCGCTGCTGCAGTTGCTGCTGCTCCTCTGGACCCTGTTCGTGCTGATGCTGCTGCTCATAGCGTTGCTGTTGCTGCTGCTGCTCGTGTTCCTCCTGAAGGTGCTCTCTCCGCTGCTGCAGCTGCTCCTGGATAACCTGCTTCTGCTGCTGCTGCTGTTCACGTAGCAGCTGCACCCCCTGCAGCTGCTGCAGCTGTTGTTGTTGCTGCTGCTGCTGAATAGAGGCCTCATCTCTCTCGTGGGGGGTATAAGAGCTGCGAGGCGTGCTGCTGCTGCTTTTGCTGCTGTGGGCTGGTGTGCTGACAGTAGAGATTCTGTTGCTGCAGTTGCTGCTGCTGTTTGCCGCTGTTGCTGCTGTGGCCCTGTTGCGGAAGCTGCAGCTACCGCAAGGGCAGCAAATCGCCTGCCCAGGAGAGGCCTTGCTCCCATGGCAGCAGCAGGGGCAGCAAACTCCAAGCCCCACATCACGTACTGCTGCTGCTGCTGATTCTGCTACTGCTGCGCTGCTGCTGCTGCCGAGAGCCCCAGGGAACGTGTATCTCCTCTCCACCTCGCACGCAGACGCAGTGATGAGGCTGCTGCTGCAGCAGCACTTGCTGCTGCTGCTGCTGCTGCAGGGGATTGTGAATCGCGCGAAGTGGGGACCCGGCGAGGGCCCCTGGGGCCCCCTAGGAAGCTGCGGCCAAGTGCAGCAAAGGGCCCTGCTGCAGTGGTGGGTCTCTACAGGGAGGCAGAGGCTCATGAGGTCTGTTGTGCAGCAGCTACGTCTGCTATTGCTGCTGCTGCTGCGTCTGCTCCTGTTGCTGCAGCGCCGAGTGCTCCCGCTGCTGCTGTGCTTGCTGCTGCTGCTGCTCGTCGGGGGGCTGCCCGGGGGCCGCTGCAGCAGAGACATGGCGTCTCAGTATTAATTCGGCCCCTGAGGGGGCCCCCTGGGCAGCGGGCTCTTAGGGGACTTCGCTGACTTCAGCAGCTGCTGCTGCTGCACTGTTTGCCGCTGCTGCCGCCGCTGGTGCTGCTTTGACGGCAGGCGTTACTGCCGGCTGGGCGCTTGAGCTAGAGCTGCTGCCGCCGCCGCTGCGGTTGCCGCTGCTGCTGCTGACAATGATCCCTAAATGACTCTGCAGCACCCTATAGCCTTCCCCGCCGCAGCAAATTTGCAGCAGCAGCAGCACCTCAAGAGGGGCCCTGCGGTCTACGCAGACACCCGAGACAGGGGAACAGCAGGAAGGGCTTGGACGGGCCCCTGAGAGCGCCTCTCTGCTTAAAAAGGAAAAAAGAGTTAAAAAAGCATATAAGAGACAGGAAGAAGTTCAAAAAGACAAAAAATAGTCAGGGCGAATGCAGCAAAACCCTTCCTCCCCAGCCACGCAGCACAGCCGCGACGCACGGCTCTCCTAGGGCCCCCCGCCTACTGCAGTGCTGCGATTTCAGCAATAAAGTGTGAAAAATAACAATAAATGAAATCTAAATAAAGACTTTAAATGCTTATTATTCATTTGCACTAGACAAAAGGCCTTATTTAAAGGGGAATTCTGCAGACACTGCTGCAGCAGATTGAGCCTGCGGCCGACCGCTGCCGACACTGCTGCGGCAACAGCAGTCAAGGCATCCCAGCAGCAACAGCGGCAGGAGCAGCAGCAGGACCAGTGGTTATGTTTATGAGTTTAGTTACAAATCATGCAGCTACACTGTGGGGGCTACTCTTGCCGAGCTTTGGCTGCAGCAAAGCACAAATCTCATACGAGCAGAGGCTGCAGCAGCGGCAGCAGCAGCAGCAGCCATAGCAGCTGCTGCTCATTCCAAACGGAAGCTTATCTACAAGTCGAGTAACCATAGAATGTCGCAGCGTTAGCGATATGCTGGCTTGTTTTAGAACGTTTAGGGTTTAGGGTTTATGGTTTGTCGTTTACGGTTTAGGGCTTCAGCCATTCTTGCCCTGCGCTCGCTGCACCGGCCGACCTCCAGAAATGGGGACCAGGGGTTGAGGATCAGGGTTTAAGGCTTAGGGTTTAGGGTTTAGGCTTTAGGGTTTATCCCTTCAACAATGTGACTGTCTCTTGCCGCGTCAGAAGCTCCCGAGTCACCCGTAGCAGAACACGGGGCCCCAGCCCCAAACACCAAAACGCTAAACTCTAAACCCTTAAACTTAAACCCTAGGCCCTCTGTTCCCTAGATTAACAGAGAACTGCACTGCTTTGGCGAAGAGGGCGCTCAAGCGTCGCTCTCTCCCAGGGTTTAGGGTCTAGGGTTCAGGGTTTAGGGTTTAGGGTGACCACAGGAACACACTCTCCTCCTGGAGCCACAGACAGCCTACAGCATTACTAAAGGACACAGGCAGTTTGCTGCTGCTGGGGACGTTTTCAGATTTAGGACTTAGGGTTTGGGGCCCAGAGCTTAGGGTTTAGGGTCTGGCTGCAAGAGTGGGAGCAGCAACGAAACTTCATTTGTAATTCGCGTTGGCGCTGGAGCCCTTCGAAAGCAAAATTAAATAAGGTAAATGGATCTATATAAACAAAATATAGATGAATAATCAAATATAATCCAATTGAATTAAATGTACCATAAGGAACTCGAGGCAGCAGCCAAGGGCGGCACTCGTAGAGAAGCAGAAGAGGCAGCAGCTTGCTGCTGCTGAAGGACGAAGCAGAGATGTGTGACGCAGCAGCAGCAACAGCAGCATGTCCTGCTGCAGCAGCAGCAGCAGGTGCTGCTGCTGCTCAGCCGGCTGCTGTTGCTGCTGAACCAACAGACCCAACAGACCCGGCAGAGCCAATGCAGCTGCCGCCTCCCTCTAGTGTGTACGACATGGGTAAGGCAGAAATAGCAGTAGCAAGAGAAGCGGCAAGACACAGCACAGCGTAAAATATCATACTGGAGACTAATCAAGGCAACCACTGCTGCTGCCGCTGCAGCAGCAAAAGCGAAGAAAACAGCAGCGAAAACAGTTTTGGACAGATGCTGCTTCACAAGTAGGCATTCTGCTGCTGCTGCTATTGCTGTTGCTGCTGCAGAGACAGGAGAGTTGGTGAAATTATGCCGAGACCTTCAGAGCGCCCAAGCGACACAGCAAGGTCCCCAGCAGCAGCAGCAGCAGCAGCAGCAGCAGCGGCTGTTGCTGCTGAATCTTGTGCTGCTTGAGTTGAGAGACAGACAGCAATCCGATTCCCTGCTTGAGGCCGTGGACAAGCTGACGGCCAGCAGCAGCAGCAGCAGCAGCAACGGAAACAGCAATGTCATCAACAGCAACAGCTACAGCAGCAGCAACAGCAAAACGAACAGCAACGGTAACAGCAGCAGCAGCAACAGCGGTGGAAACAGCAGCAACAGTGGTGGCAGCAGCAGCAGCCCTCGCACGAGCAGCAGCAGCAGCAGCAGCAGCAGCAACATGCAGCCTCCTGCACCGTATTCCGAAAGCCATTATCCTAGTGAGCCTCTGGATGCATTTCTCAGCAAAAGTGAAGCGGCCAACAAGAGCTTCTCAAGGCAGGTAAAAAAGCGCTAAACCATAAGCGCTAAATGCTAAACGCTAGGCCCTTAACCCTAGACCCTAAACCCTAGACCAGTTCAAAACCGTAGTTCTTGATGCGCTCCCCTTGAAACTACTTTGCAAGGCAACGCGGCTGTGACCTGATGCAAAAAAGGAGGCATTCAGCACTCCTCCGCTCTGCTGCTGCTGCTGTTGCTGCTGCAGGGGAAGAGGGTCCCTCGCTTGTCTCGGCGAGTTGGGGGTCCCCCAGCTTCCCGTAAGCACCAGCAGATGCTGAGCAAGGAGCAGCAGCTGCTGCGGCCGTTGCTGATTGGCCGCCACAAGCAGGAGCAGCAGCAGCAGCAGCAGCAGCAGCGGCAGCAGCAGCAGCAGCGACAGCAGCGGCAGCAGAGGCAGCAGCAGGGCACCCGCGGGAACCGAAGCAACCGCAGAGGCAGCGCAAAGCGCAGGAACAGCATGCGACCTTCCCTTACCTCCCACGCCAGCAGCAGCAGCTGCAGCAGCAGCAGCAGGTTCAGGGGAGGCAGCGGAGACACTGGATTCTTTAAGTCCTTTCTTCCTTGCTGCTGCCCCTCTTCCCATTTGAACGACAAAGCGAGTACCAGTTCTCCTTCTGCGCTTTTTGGCAGCCTGCGACGAGGTTGGCCTAGGGCTTTAGGGTTCGGGGTTTAGGGTTTAGCTTCAAGGAAACGAGTTTAGGGGGGCGGGAGAAGTGTAAGTTGGCTCTGGGGTTTGAGCTCTGGGGCTCTACGATTCCAAAGTTTGCTGCCTAGTGCATAGGGCTTAGGGCTTAGGGTTTAAGGATTAGGGTTTAGGGTTGGCGGTTTGCATATGCAACAGCTGCTACAATTGATGGCCTTTCAAGGGCCACCGAGTATTCGGCGTGGCGCTCTTCGGCAGCAGACTCCACAGGGACGGGTAGGGGTTAGGGTTTAGGGTTCAGCGCTTAGGGTTTTTTATCTCTGTGCACTGCGCTGTCTGTCTGTCTCCTTTGAACGTCTTTAAGACGACATGTGTCTCCTCAGCATTAGCTTCTCGTGTTTTGAACACTAAACCTAAAATATAAACTCTAAGCCGTAGTCAGCTTTGTGCATGCTGCTCAGCGTCTCCAGTATCGCCCACTTTGTCACCACCTGGCTGTAGGATCCCTTGCAGCAGCAGCAGCAGCAGCAGCAGCAGCGGAGCGCCGAGCAGCAGGGGTGCCCTTTACAACCAGGCATCCCTTAGCAGCTACAGGGGTGCGCTAAGCAGCAACAGCAGCAGCAGCAGCAGCAGCAGTGAGGCAGCCCGCAAGGGCAAGGGGACCCCTAGTACCAGCAAAGGGGCGCCTACTAGCACAATGCGACAGGCTTCCCCTACTAGGAGTAGCAACCTATATCATCAACCACGCAGCAGTAGCAGGACTAGCGGGGAAAACTCGGAGATGCCCTCTGGTTTAGGGCCCCGGGCGCAGCCGCAGCAGCAGCGGCTGCAGCAGCAGCGGCTACAGCGGCAGCAACAGCAGGAGCAGGAGCAGCAGCGAGCCAATTCCAAGCAGATGCAGCCTCTTGGGAAGAACCAGCAGACAAAATGCCGCCAGCAGCAGCAGCAGCAGCAGCAGCAGCTGCTGCTGCTGGCACCTTCCCTTTCGGCCGACTTAGCGAGGCAGCTGCCCCGCCTGAAGTCTCTGGGAAGCTGCTCTAGCGCTGCTTCCTCAGCAGCAGCAGCAGCCGGGGACGCCTCTGCAGCAGTAGCAACCCCAGCAGCAGCAGCAACCCCAGCAGCAGCAGCAGCAGCAGCAAGCAACGGGCGACCCAAGAGCAGCCGCTCGGCTCACGCCTCCATTCGGTCCTGCGCAAAGTCTCTAATCAGCAGCATAGAGGAGGCGGTGAGGGACCTCGACATAGACCTGCCGCTGCCAGTTGCCGCTGCAGCAGGCCCCACAGCAGCAGCAGCAGCAGATCCGTATGGTGCAGCAGTAGCAACAGCAGCAGCAGCAAGGAGGCACGGGACACGAAGACTAGCGAGGAGCCCCCGCAGGGCACTCAGCGACTGCAGAGTCCCGCGGGTCCCCCACAGAGCCCCCCAAAGGTTTTGTTTAGGTCTTTCTTCTCCTCCAGCGGCAGCAGCAGCAGCAGCTGCTGCTGCTGCTGCTGAGGCGGCTGAGGCTGAGGCCGCTGCTGCTGCTGCTGCTGCTGTTGAAGAATACATGGATGCTGACGGCGAGAGGCACTCCATCGCTAAGGTGTACAGACTGCTGCACGAAATGGGCTTAGCGGCACAGCAGCAGGCTGCAGCAGCAGACACAGCAGCAGCAACAGCAGCAGCAGTAGAGGCAGAGGCCGAAGCAGCAACGACAGCAGCAACTGCAGCAGATGCGACCGGAGCACACTCAGTGCCACCAGCAGCACTCAGTGAAGAAGCAAAAAAACAGCAACAGCAGCACGAGCAGCAACTGCAGCAGCAGCAGCAGGAGCAGCAGTCGCAGCAGCAGGAACAGCAACTGCAGCAGCAGCATCTGCTGCTGCATGTTGTCCCTCCATTGCCACAGGCAAATCAGGAGTCCCTCGCAGGCCCCTTCGAGCATCCCCCCGGGACCCCAGCGATAGCAGCAGCTGCAGCAGCTTCAATGGTTGCTGCTGCTGCTGCTGCAACTGCTGCCCCCGATACTCCTGTTGCTGCTGCTGCTGCTGCCTGCGCTGAGTGCCGCATAGCCAAACAGCAGCAAAGGCAGAGCAGAAGGCAGCGGCAAAGGAGGCCTTCCACAGCAGGTGCAGCTGCTCCTGAGCTGCTGCTGAGCAGCCTCCGTAGAAGCCCCTTTGCAGCAGGTACAGTGGCAACTGCAGCAGCTGCAGCAGCTGTAGCAGCAGAAGATACACAGGAAGCGAGCGCACTGCAGGAAGTGGGTGATAGTGCTCCTGCTGCTGCTGCTGCTGCTCCTGCTGGTGGTACTGCTGTTGAAAATCATACCTCAGTTGTGGAAGCGGTGCATGCAGAAATAGCATCAACTACAACAATAACAACGTCAGCAACAGTAACAACAGCAGCAACAACAGCAGCAGCAACAGCATCAGCAGCAGCAGCCCTTGGAGCTCCAGAAGAGGTGAACCAAATGGAAGCTCACACAGAGGCCGCAACAGCAGCGCAAGGAACGGCAGGAGCAGCGGCGGCAGCAGCAAAAACGAAGGCAGCGGCAGCAGAAGCAGCGACAGCAGCAGCAGCAGCAGCAGCATCAGCAGCTCCTGGCTTCCCAACAGCTGTAGCAGCACACCCCATCGAATACATGCCTTCTTCAAGTAGCGAAGATAAACAGCAGCAACAACAGCAACAGCAGCAACAACAGCAACACCGACACGAGAGGCAACACAACCAGCAACAGGAGCACCAACAGGAGGGCGAGCAGTACAAGCTACAGCAACCTGAAAATGTCATTCCCGCTATTGCTGCTGCAGCTGACACTGCAGCAGGTGCCCTTCCTCAGCAGCAGGGAGACCCCGCTGAGTTCTGCCGTTGGGCCTCTTCTCCTTTACCGCACAGCAGCAGCACCAGCAACAGTAGCAGCAGCAGCAGCAGCAGCAGCAGCGACAGCAGCAGCGACAGCAACAGCAGGTTGAATAACAGCAGTAGCATTGCTCTTTTTTTGCCGACAGTGTACACGTCCGAAGGCGCCCCGAGAAGCCTCACAGGACAGCAGCAGCAGCAGCAGCAACAGCAGCAGCGACGGGTGGACCAAGACGAGGAACTGTCACTTTGGGACAGCTGCGAAAATGCCACTTTTGATTTATCTGTCTCCTTTCCTTCTGTGCTGCACTTCGTTGGGGTGCACGTACACTCTAAGTCGCTGCTGCTGCTGCGCTCGCTGCTACTAGCCCTCAAAGCAGCCGAAAAGGAAGAGGCCCAGGACCCTCTTTTGCTGCAGCAACGCAGCAGCAGCAGCAGAAGGACGTTTGCTGTCGTTGGCTGCACCAAGGAGGAAGAAGTCATCGTGAGAGAGTCAGCGCAATTCTTTTCGTTCCTTTTTTCTTCTTTCCTGTATTTTATTTCTTTAATCTTTTTGATTCTCTTTCCTTCCTTTTTCTCTATTTTTTCTTTTCTGCCCCTCTCTTGTTTCTTTTCCTTTCATTTTTGCCCTTTTGTTGTCCCCTTTTGTTTGCCCGTTTTTCTTCTCTTCTATTTATCCCGCCTAAGGACAACAACACCACAGCTGCTGCTGCTTCTGCGGCTGCTGCTGCTGCTCCTGTTGCTGCTGCTGTTCCCGTTGCTGGCGCTGACTTCAGGGCCTTGCTGCCTACAGGGCAGTGGCGCCAGGTGTTTTCTCCTGCTGCCGTTGCAACAGCAAATTTAATTTGGGTGTCTTCTAGGGCCCCTGCTGCTGCCCTGCCTCCCTCAAGGGGTCCGTCAGTTCCGCTGCACCGCAGCAGCAGCATCAGCAGTAGGGCTGCGGCAGGGATCTTGGGGAGCCCGTACAGAACCTTTTCAGGGCGTTCTCTTGGGGGCCCCTCCGGCAGCTCGAGAGGGACCCCAGGGGTCACCACGGCGGCCCAAGGGGTCCCGCTCGGGGGCCCCTGGGGGCCCCCCGGCAGCCTGGGTTTTCGGCTGCAGCGGGTAAGCTGTATGTACAGTTTGGGAAGCACTTTAGAAGCAGCAGCTCTCTATAAGTCTCTTTTGAGACTAAGTCAGAGGCAAGGAACTTCAGGGGAGGCCTTCAGGTTAGCTTGCTGCTGCTGCTGCTGCTGCTGTTGCTGTTGCTGCTGTTGCACGTGTCTTGGTTGCTGCTGCCCTTGCTGCTGATACTGCTGCTACTGCAGCTGATATCACTTCTGCTGCTACTGATGCTCCCACTGCCACTGCTCCTGCTGCGTCCATCGCTGCTGCTGTTGATGTTTCTGTGTGGCTGATGTTGTTCGTGCTGCCCTTATTGCTGCTGCTGCTCCTTTTTTCCTCTGCTGCTGCTGCTATCGCTGCTGCTGCCACTGCTGTTGCTGCGTTTATTGTGATGCCTGTGACTTCTTCGGCGCCCTGCGGCCCTGTAGAGCTGCCGCTACTGTTTCTGACGCTGCTGTTATTGCTGCTGCTGCTATTGTTGCTGTTGTTATTGCTGCTGCCGCTACTGTTGCTGTCCCTTTCGCTGCTGCCGCTTGGTGCTGCTGTTATTGCCGCTGTTGTTGCTGCTGCTGCCTATAGGGTAACGCCTGTGACTTTGACTCTACCTTGTGACCCTTTGGAGCTTCTGCTGCAACTGCTGCTGCTGATACTACTACTACTACTACTACTACTACTACTACTACTACTACTACTGCTGTTACTGCTGTTTCTGCTGTCGCTACTGCCAATGCCTTTAGGGGGATTCCTTTGACTTTGACTTTGCCCTGTGACCCTTTGGAGCTTCTCCTGCTAGCGCTGCTGCTTCTATTGCTACTAATACTGCTGCTGCTGATGTTGCTTTTACTGCTGCGCTTACTGCTGCTGCTGCTGTTGCCTTTAGGGTAATGCCTGTGACTTTTTCTTTGCCTTGTGACCCTTTGGAGCTTCTCGAACTTTCTTCGAGGGAACTTCACGGCAACAAGAAGTCCATTTGGATTTGCAGGAAGAGAAGTGAAAAAAATAATAATGCAAATATCAATAAATAAATGATTACTAACAAATAAACAAAAAAGGAAAGAGAAACTGCTGGTTTGTTCACTATGAATTCATTTTTTAGCGTTTTTTATTTGATCGTTTTCCTTTTTTTTCTCCATTTTTCCTAATGAACAAATTATTAATAGTTAAAAATTATAAATTAATGAATATTTATTTATTTATTTATTTATTATTTGTCACGTTTTGTTGCTTAGGGAAACTCTCCGGGGCATCCCTGCTGGGTCCCCCGCGTTTGCTGCTGCAGCCGTTTGCTGCTGAACTTTATGGGGGAGCTCTGCTGCAGCAATACGTAGCAGCGCCGCTGCTGCTGCAGCAAAGAAAATTCGACTTTCTTTGTTTTGTTGCGGTGCTTTCCTTCGCTCCCCTCCAGGCCTTCCTTTACAAAGAGGTCCCTTGCTGCTGCTGCTGTTGCTCCCGTTATTGCTGCTGAGCTGTCGCTGCTCCTACTGCTGCTGCTGCTGATAATGCCAATGCTTCTGACGCCTTTGCTCGTGATGCTTTGTTGTCGCGGCAGAAGAAGCAACAAGGAAGCAGCCGCAAGCGGCGGCTGTCTCGTTGGTTCTTCTGCTGCTGTTGCTTAAGCCAGTAGTCGTGTTGCTGCTGCTGCTGCTGCCACTGCTCCAGATGCGGCTGCAGATGCGGCTGGCGTGGCTGTTTCAGCTCTTCCCGCTGCTCTTTGATGCCCCGTTTCTGGCGCTGTTTTTGCTGCCATGTTCTGATGTCGGGCGTGCTGCCTCTTTGCGTTCCCCTGCTGCTACTGTTGCTGCTGCAGGGGAGGGTTCGCGTGGCTCGGCTGGCTTACACTTCTGACCCTAATTCCATCAGCAACAAATTTGTTCATCTGACGGATTGTCTTTCAGCAGCAAACTGGGAAACCCAGGAATTTTCTGCTGCTGCTGCTGCTGCTGGTGATGCCGTCGCTAGTTGTTCCAGTGCAGCAGCAGCGGAACCCGCACCAGCAGCAGTTGCTGCTGCTGCAGCTGTTGCTGCTGCTGCAGCAGTGCCTGTGGTGAAAGCATCAGGGCAGGCGTACATAGACGGAACACTGCAGCAGCAGCAAAGGCAGCAGCAAAAGCAGCAACAGCAGCAGCAGCAGCAAGGGTCCTCCCCTGGCGCTGCTGCTGCTGCCGACGAAGAACCAGTAGCGGCAGCAGAAGCAGCAGCAACTTATTTGTCCTTCTCAGAACTTCGCGCTGCTCTAGCAGCAGAAGAGACAGGGGCCTCCCCGCAGTTATTTGACCTTTTGTGGGCCAACAGCTGCGATTCGATTTTGAAGGTTCTCTTTTGCCTCCAGCAGCAGCAACAACAGCGCCAGCAGCAGCAGCAGCAGCAGCAGGGGTTCCTGCTACTGCGCTTCTCGCTGCTTCCAGATGCTAAAGGCAAAGTCTGGGTCACAAAAGTAGCTCCTGTCTCAGTAGGGGGAGGCTCCCTGGGGGGCCCCCTGGAGGGGCCGCTCTTGGGGGGACTTCCAACAGAAGCAGGATTTAAGGGTTTAGTTCAATTCGTAAGAGATGTTGCTAGTTTAATCAATCCGCTTTATTATGACAGGAAACAGCTCATCAAAGTGAGTGCAACAGCAGCAGCAGCAACAGCAGCAAAAGCAGCAAAAGCAGCAGAAGCAGCAGCAGCAGCAAAAATCAGCAGCAGCAGCAAAAAGCAGCAGCAGCAGCAGCAGCAGCAATAACAGCAGCAGCAAAAACAGCAGCAGCAGCAAAGGCAGCAGTACCGAGAAAGAAAGAGTTCGCCCTTTGCTGCTATTCCATTTGTTTGTTTTACTGTTGCCGTGGTGCTCGGCATCTCCCCGCTGCCTCCTGTGGCTGTTGCTGCTGTTGCTGCTGCTGCTGTTCGTCGTGCTGTTGTTCTTGCTGCTGCGGCTACTGTTGTTGTTGCAGCTGCTGCTGCTCCTGCTGCTCCTGTTGCTGCACTCGTTGCTCTTGATCAAGCTGCGTCTATTGCTTGTGCTTCACCTGCTGCTGCTGCTTCTCCAGCCGTTTCTGCTGCTGCTTCTGCTGCTCCTTCTGCTGCTGCTTTTCCAGCTGGTGCTGCTGCTGCTGCTGCTGGAGTGCAGTGTAACTCTTTGACCCTGTGCTTCGCACGCACGTCTGGAGAAGATATAAGAATCAATTTGGAATTATTTTTTGTATCTTTTTTATATTTTTGTCCTTTTTTGGTTTTATTTGTTTGCTTTTGAGTCTTTGCTGCTCTGAGTTTTTAAAACTGCTCTTACTCTTATTTGTTGCTGTTGTCTTCTGCTGCTCCTGCTGCTGTGCAGCTTCTCTCCAGCGAAATTCCCGCCCTTGCTGCTGCCCGCTGCTGCTGCTGCAGTCAGAGCCGCTTGCTTTCCTCTTCTGGGCCCCGCAGCAGCAGCAGCAGCAACAACAACAAAGTCGGCGGCTGCCGCGGAACTAGCAGCAACTGCTGCCAGAAAAGTAGCAGCAATGGCAGCCATTGCCACTGCAGCAGTAGAAACCACTGCCACAGCAGCAGCAAAAGCAACCACTGCCACAGCAGCAGGAGCAGCAGCAGTCCCTGCACAAGCAGCTACAGCAGCAGCTACAGCCACCGCGACAACAGCAGCAGCGGCACGGACCGCTGCTTCTGCTGCTGCTGCTGCGGCTTTGGAGGGAATCTTGAGAAGCAAAAAAGGGATATAGAATTGGTTTTTAAAACTAAAAATGTAAATGAAATGCCGCTGCTGACCCCACAGAAGACTGCAGCGAAATTCGTCCGCCTGGCTCCCTCTAAGGCCTTCCAGCGGCTGCTGGAAGCAACGCACACCTAATTGCTGCTGCTGCTGCTGTTCTTGTTGCTGCTGTAGTGGCTCCTTCTACAGTAATTTCTGCGGCCGTCCCTGCTGCCATACCTCTTGCTGCAGTGATTGTTGCTGTAGTGAATTTTGGTGCAGCTGGGGCATTTGCGGCGGCCGGGAAAGCAGCAGCAGCAGCTGCTGCTGCTGTCACCACTAGCAGCAGCAGCGCTAGCAGCAGCAGCAGAGTGCCTCGGCCCTCTGGATTTCTTTTTGGTGCTTCTAACGAAAAATAAGTTCGTCACTAATATTTTAATCATTAAATTGATTACTAAATTTACAATTCGTAATTTCTGTTCTGCTGCTGCTGCTCTCCTGCACTTCGCCACAGTTCTGCAGCAGCAGCAGCAGCTTGCAGCAGCAACAGCAAAACTAGGACCAGCAGCAGCCACTTCAGAATCATCAGCAGCATTAGCAGCCACTGCAGAAGCAGCAGCAACAACACTAGCCACTTTTGTAGCAGCAACCAATGCAGCAGCAGCGGCAGCAGTAGCTACTGCAGTAGCAGCAGCAGCAGCACCCATTTCAGCAGCAGCTGGAGTTCCGTTTTCTGCTTTTCCTCTGTTATCGTTTTCGGCTCTGCAACATCTCAATTTTACCCTTTCTAAATTCCAAAAAATCTAAATCCTAAACCCTAAACCTCTTTTCCTAATCAGCTGCCTAGATGCTTCAATAGGGTTTAACACCTCTATCATTTCAGTCTTTTTCAAGCTTCTGGCTCAACATCATAAAACCCCTCACGTCGAAAGCTTGCAAAAAATTCATGAATACCCAAGTAAAAGTCGCATAAATATCCACAAAACGCCTTTCCATAAAAGTTAGTCGGCACACCATGCTCTGCTGCGCGGCTGCGCTGCTCGTTAGTCGACGAACTGCCGTATATCATGGACCACCTGAAGCGCCACTCAAACAGCTTTTCTACTTCCAAGAGCCTAAGCTCCGTTCACAAAATAAAATTGAATAATAATGTACAGATTTCTCAGGGGAAGACCGAACAATTCAGGAAAGCGTAACGTGCTGTTTGGACGTGACGAATCCGCCTCGCCATATATTTGCAATGCCCGTATCACCGAAGTCGTTTCCTTCTCATGGCTTTGCCTCGCAAACGTTTGCCTCGCAAGATACTCGCTTACAGCAAGCGACCTACAACCAAGATGTAAACGACAATAGCATGTTAAGCTTTTCGCGTACTAGGACGCAGCTCGTTCTTCAATAGAGCATCCCCTCCAATATGATCCATCTGAATATCTAAGGGCTCCTGCAACTCTGTGGCGCTAACGCAGCGCAAACCAGCTCGCTTCCCCATACATTCCGGCCACCAAATGAAGCGTAAAGCCAGGTATTCATCCACCATCGCACGCTTTTCACAGTGGTTCATTAAAAAGCACAAACGTACAATAAATTTCCAATAAACTACTAGAAACCGCTCTAGCTTCAAAGTTGCTGTACTACACGATTCGCCACAAACGACGAATTCTCTCCTCTTCGTCCTTTTGTTCACAACATCAGCTCTTCGTCGTGCTCTTTTCGAGGGCTTGCATACGCCCTGCATACAACGTCGAATTGTCAGAAAAACTTTCACATCTTGATATGCAACTTGCTTGCGTTGCTTGCAACTCAGCGCAGTCTCTTGCGCGAAAAGAAACGGCATTTATGCACATGCCCACGTATCAGCACTTTGCTTTTATTCGCAAAGAAGTGAAAGATAAACACTTGGTGAACCGACAACAATGTGCTGCTGGGTACAAGTGCCAAGCAGCGCTTCACAAACGTATAAGCTGCAACGGTTGTCGCTTCTCTGTAAAGCCTGCTTTGCGCGAACTATGGGGCAGTAGAAGCGCTGCAATGGTTCTGCGTCATCCACAGAGCTGGAAACAGCCGCTCTGGTGTAGTAAACACCAATTAAATGAAGCAAGACAGTGAGCCTCTAGAGTACCACCATTTTTAGAACGACTGTTTCAGGAGCACAACAGCTGCAGGCATTAAACTTGCAAAAGACTGGCAAATTGCCGATTGGCAACTCTCAAGATGCACAAGTAAGATTCAGGGAAACCCACTCCGCATTGCCATCTGGCTAATGCGTTCCCACTGAAGCTTTTTAAGGAATCTGCGCACACCGCAGCAACTGCAAATTAAATCCTCAACGCGGCCGCGTTGCTTGCTTTTCTGTGCGCTCCGCTCAGCACTCTGAAGCACAACGCAAGCGCTTCGCTGACGCCCGCATACCTAAGAAGTTTTATTCACAGAAAACCAGACAAGGTTCTGGAGCTTGGAATATCTTTAAGCAGCAGCTTCCATTTGTCTGGACACTAGGCATGTGAATGCATTAGTCTATTCCCGTCTGTGCAATGACCGAACCAACTGGCGTCGTCGCTGTCGTCCTAAGAACTCGATTTCGGCAAGACTGGCTCGCAAGCCAGAGGACCACGTAAAACGTCTCACGACATGTAAAGTAAAACATGACATAACACTATGTTTCATATCAACCTATTCAACACATATCTCTCTCGCTACAGACACACAATGCGGCCGTCCAACTAATCTGCTAAATTTTTGGCACTTGCTTGGCAGGAGGTTTTCTTTTTTCTTTTGAATGCCGACGCCCGCTGCTTCAGTCCTTCCAAAAAGACTGACGAAAAAAATCACGATTCCTTGAAGCGGCGGGTATGCGTCAAATGGCCAAACAAATGAATGAAACATCCATTTGGTCCTACGTGAGTATGCAGCAAAATCATAATCTCTTTATATCCAGAACACCAGCCACTTAATGCTTCCTTTCCAATCCTTACGCACATTCAGCACTCAAGAGAAAGTTTGCAAATCAACTCGTCACAACACTTTTGTTGCAAATTACATCAGTTTGTGTCAAGCGACTACCCTGCCTGCTATTAAGTAATATATCGTTGGATGCTTGAGATACCACTTCAGTAGCCTGTTGACACCCGTGTATCTAAGTCTCAACAACCAGAAAAATGACGCATACAACTTTACTTAGAAGCCCACAAACGCATTCAGCGGAAGTGAAAAAGCCGCCCTGGCAGCAGGTCTCTGCAACTCGTCTTCGTTTCCTTGTAAACGGCCATATTGCCACGGTCTCCAGCATTTTATGAACTTTCTTGACAAATGGTTGGCTGGCGAACAGGTCGCTCAAATCAGGAGTCCTAGGACTGACGCGGTGAAAGCAGTATCCTTCAAGTCAACGTATTTTGGGTAACTGTCTCGTTTTCATTACGGGGTATGCCTTTTATATATCACTCAGCTGTGCAAGCAACCTGAAGATTGTTTGGCACTCACTTTACCAGAATCAAACAACTCTTTCAAAGTCAACAATCAGAAAGATAAGCTCTGGAGCCCACCAGCACTATCGCACTCTGGTCCAAAAGACGTTGAACAAGGAATATATCAGCTCAGCGCTGCAAGCCCGCAACAAGTAGTCTACAAGAGGATGAATTCTATTCAAAGCCAAGAGCCTATTCCTGCGTCAGCATCCAGTGTAGCCTTATCTTCCACTTAGTCTTTAACTTAGAGGCTTGCTGCTTGTTGCTCTTAATACTCCTCCCTGTAATCTGCTCACCTCCAAATCAAACCGCCCCATATTGATCTTTTGCTCACGAGCTACAGGGCGCATGGTGGCTCACGAATTAAATCCCCATTCACACAGCTTGTCGACGTTCGTCTACCTGGGTTTCATACGAGCTTGTCCAGGGCCCACAAATACGTTAAGCAAAAACTTGCACGCTTTCTGGACACACGACTGTAAGGGCTCCTCTCTCTTTCATTGACAGATATCATCGCCAACGTTGCCATCCTAAGAACTCGCCTGACAAAAGGTTTGTGCGCAAGCTACTCGCTCACAGCACGAGTCTGCGAGACCGTCACGTCGAATCCAAACACTACTGTCCAATGCGTCTCATTTGCTTCAACCACCATATTCTTCCCACAGAGCATACCTTTTGTTTGTGCAATGCGTCTCACCCGCTTCAACCACCATATTCTTCCCTTCCCAAAGAGCATGCCTTTTGTGAATCAGGCCTCAATACAAACGCTCTGCTGTGCTCTCGAAAAGCTGAAAACTTGCCGCTGTTTTGCGCGCAGCAAACAAACCTATCCCGCATGGCTGCTGCTGCTGTAGTTCTCAAGTCTGTCACATAGCAGTTATTGTAACGCACCATACATCCAAACGTGTCCACAGCCTCGATCCAACGCACACCTGCATGCGCTCTAATACAAGGTGTTCACTGGCTGAGAAATAGGCATTCGACTGCCCTCGGTTTCATGCCCTTCAGGGGCTCTGCATCTACCTATTCCGTGAAATGCCGCACTAACAGAGACTCACAGAGCCTTCACTACAAGTTGCTACCGTCCCAATCCATAGGCACAACTCCTGTCGGCAACAATCCGCCTCAAAGAGCCGTAAGAATAGCAGGCGCCTCTGCAGGAATTTCAAGAGAACGGAACTAACGAAATTATAAGACGTGGTGCTCCTGGAAATCGTCTCTCCATGTTCCCTCAATGCAATGCCCACGCAACTCAGAACCCATCGCCTGCGTCGTTCTAGCACAGCCCAAACTGCCGCCGTCGTAAACGCCTTTCACCTAGTTTCTCTAAATCGTGCATTCAAACTCGTCATATCTCATGCGTTC